CATGAAAAATGTTCTTGAAAGTAAATAAAATAAAAAACAAGGCTCTCTCTCTCTCATATATATATATATATATATTATTATTATTTTACCAACAAGGGAAAAGATTGAATCACAAGACTAAACATGCTAAAAGTGAAAAATTAGAAAAATTATCAAAAATAGAATTCCACATCATTTCCTGTGTAAAATGGTAAAAGATCTCAAGGTATTTCCATTTGTAGATACAAGTTCTTTTTTTTTTTTTTAACTCACAGATAAAATGTGTGTGTATATATATATATATATATATGCTAATCACATTCTTATATATATCAATTGAAGCTTTTCTTTATGCTTACAAATGTGTTTATATATGTGTATTTAAATGTTTGTGGGTGTTTTTTTCGTCAACCAATTTATTATTGGTATATTAAATCAAAAATATCAAAGTATACAGCATTTGTATATTAGATTATATCACATACATATGGTTTTCAAAGTTACATAACATTTTTTGTCAATATTTGTTTTCTTAATAGACATTTTTTTTCATAAATTAGATTTTTGAAAATCTGAGCTCTACTGATTTTATTTTATTTTTTTTTTTTATTATGGAGTTCTTTCATTTTTTTTTTTGGTGCTGATTCCTTCTGTTTTTTGTTTTTTTTATATAGTTAAATTTTCTGTCTATCTTTGCTACTACATTTTTTGATACTTACTGTTCCATTCCTCCATTTTTTTTTAATTACTTTTGCTTTTTTATTTCAGTCATTTCTTTAATATTTTTTTTTGATAGTTTAAGTTTTAGCTTTTTGAGCTAATATTTTTAGCCATTAGTCTTTCCACTCTGTTCAACATGTGTGTACACGTGTGCATGTACATGCAAACACTCACAATCGATGGTGGTGAAAAGTTCTCAGCAGAATCAGGAAGCCACAATATTATATATATATATATATATATATATATATGTGCATGTGATAGATAAATTGTCATCTAAATTCTGCAAAAATGCTAATAAGACTAACATCTCAATTTAACATATTTTTGTGTAATTTTGGTAAATATATATTGAAATAGTAACAAGTGAATTTATTCAATAAAATCAGCATTGGCTTCAACTACAGCTAGCAGACACTTCTGGAATCTCCAGCAACTCTTCTGGATGGTCCTTGTTTAAGTTGGTGAATGCTGCCATAATCCTTGCCTTCAGTTCATCTTTGGTGTTACAAGGAGTTTTGTTGGTCTCCCAGTCAACTGTGCCCACACATAATAATCAAGAGGTTGCAGTTTGGGGAGTTGGGTGGCCAGATATAAGGGGTGATGTAGTTGCAGAAATTGCCTAACAGCTAAAACTGGATTCTCCTGCTTGTGTGATATGGTGCAGAGTCCTCTTGACAGACATAAGGTCTTCCAGCAGCCACCTTCTTAGTGGACATGTTCATAGCTGATATTATTAAGAGAAAAACAAAAAACCAAAAAAAAAAGCTAACATTCAATAATATCAGCTATAATAATATCAGCTATGAACACTGACACAATATGCTGACCATATTTGGAAAATAAAAAATTCCTGTAACTCTAGATTCATACAAATAGAAAAAAAATATTTCAAAAAATAGATATTCAACTATACTGAAATCTTGTCAGCTTGACCCAGTCCCCAAAATCTCACCAAATGATTAAACATGAAATTTGTTTCTTTTATTGAGCCAAGCCTCTTGATTATGCCAAGAACATTTCAGCACCTCCTCTCATCCCAGTGATTATCTATTTCTGGAAATCAAATCACATAAGATAAAGTCTGGTATCCAATTTGTTTTCTATTTATGTAAAACTCAGAATGACTGAAGTGAACATTTATACCAGATTTATATATAAATACACGGAAATAGGACAAAAGATTGAGAAAGTAAATGTCCTTCCAACAAAAGAAAAAAAAATAGTTTCACTGAAACATATAATTTAAGACATGTTTTCACCAAAACTACATAAAAATTTTCAAAAGTATGACATTTTTTTCTTCAAGATATTTGATTTTTTTCCTTTTGCAAAGGAGGAAAATACATTTAAAAAAAAACAAAAGCTAATGTCGAAATTTTTATTAAAACTTTTTTTTTGACTTCGTGAACATAACAGCCAAGATGAGTATACTAGTCAGAATAGAAAGGCATATAATAACAATACCTCATCTCAAGAATCCTAAAATAGATTAGGTAGCAAGTATTAAATCAGACTAGTTTTATTAAAATCCACTGGCAGTATGTTTTATTATGTTTTTCCCTTTTTTTCATATCAGTTGTTGCACAAAATATGTGAATAGACAGTAAATATGCATATGTAGGTGCATATTAGATAATTTTAACACAACTCTGAGTTCTGTTAGAATTTATATAATAATAGTAATAATATATTAATAAGCTTTTAGGGTTCATTAAATTACACCATGATTGATGAAAGGACATTTAAGATTAGGGGACATCTCATAATATAGCTTAAGTATGGGGTCCAAAAATCTACTAAAAAACTATTTTTTTTTCATAGAACCCATTTTTAAGAGTAGTTACAGAAAATACTGTATATACTTGTGTATAGTGCAACTTTTATGATCAGTTGTTTTATGCAAAAAATAGGGAGCTGCTCTATACACAGGTAATTTTTTTGAAGAGGTTAAAAATCATGCATTTTTGGTGAACGGCTGCACTATAAACAGGTAAATTTTTATCTGGAGGTGTTAAAATTCATGCAAAAAATAAAAGTAATTCAGAGGTTGGGTCACATTATACATAAAGTTGGCTTACATGTGTGTATATACTGTAATAAAATGATTATTTTCTTTTCCTATGTAACAGCAAGAGCAATTTTTTGTTAAAATTTGTAATTCTTTGGATTTTGCTAAACTTTCTGAAACATTTTTAACAATTTTTTGAAGCATCCAAATAAAATGAGAAAAAAAAAATTTATATTTATTTTCTGGAATTTTCAAATAAAATTGCAAAACTAAAAGAATTGTCTTCCTTTCTTTTCCCCTCACCAGCAATACTTGTTATTTTATCTGTTCTTTTATGCTACAATATGCATGTTTATAACACTAGTCTAAATGGTAAAGCAAATGATAATGATTTGTAATTACTCATCTCAAAACATATAAGACTTTTCAAATTATGATAAAGATACTTCAATTTTGTCTTCATCTTTATGAATGTTGCAAGCTTTTGAAGAAAATCCTTTTCATGTATATCACAAAAAATCTTTTTTTATGTGCCATTTACTTTCATGATGCGAATGTTTATAGCCCTCCACCACTTCATTTTCTTTGTTTCTTTGTCTCCTTACTGTCCATCCAGTCCTTGTTCTACCATCCATTGACACAAGTTCATTCAGCAGATTATTCATGGTTTTCCTCTGTCCTGCTTGCCTTCAATATGTTCTGCGAGTACCAAATTCTCCAAGACTTATTTCTTCATGATCAAATTTCAACTGTCTCTTTCTAATTCTACATACAAGTTCCTGTTCATTTCCATTTTTCTTAAAACTTTATCATTGCTCATATGTTCCATATAAAAATACTTCTTTAGGAATCTGTTTGCTCAAGTCTTCTCTTCATGTGAAGGAATTGTCTAACATTCACTACACTATAAGAGTATTGATATTATATAGTTCAGCACTCTTTCCTTTGTTTCTAATGAAATTTTCCTGTTTCTTAATACTTGGTTTAGCTTTTGGAAGGCATCTTTTGCTATTACAATGTGCCTTTGAGCACTTATATTTTTTTACTTGCTTCAAACAGGAGAACTAAATCATTTTTTATTAAGATTGTCACTGGAGATGAAAAAGGATTTATTATGCAAATCTAAAATGAAGAAAATTAATTACATACAGGGAGGGTGAAAGGGTTTTGTGCACCCCTACCGTAATCTATGATATGAGGCCACCATCTGCTACATCTTAATTTTCTCAAGATCATACTGATATAAAATACAAATTTTATTGTAATCTAATTATCTACATCAATGGATCAGATGCAATATACGTGAATAATTCAACTTGAAAAATGGAAAATAAATACAATGTATCTAAATACAAATTAGAGACATGACATAATAGACCATTCCATCTTAAATAAATCAACAATTTTTTGCAGCAATTTTTAACATGAAACTTGTGATTTTTCTTGTTAAAAAATTGAATAGTTTTAAAATATTCAACATTATGGATAAAAACTAGCCGAGTCTCAGATATTTGGCCGACGGACATTTAGCCGAAAATGTAGTGGCGTACTTACATGTCATATTCCTTTACTGTTTTTGAAAAAGAGTAATGGTGTCTACCTTGTTTAATATAATGAAACAGTGAGATTGAACCTTCTTCAGCATTAAATTCACTATTTAATTTCTTCAATATGTGCTACATAGATTTATATATCAATTTATAAATTATAGACTACAAACTTTCTAGAGGAGTAGCACGGAGCATTTGAACAGAGAATGGCAATCATCCACTTTTCTATTTGCCATCTAGTTTCAAAGCTAAGAAAAGACCAATCAGACTGGGAATTAACAATCGAAATGGTGAATTCAGGGGTTGCATTGAGAACATCAAAGAAGAAGTATCAGATATTAAACATCAAGCTCATGCCTATCATTCAGAAATATGATGAGTATCAAAAATTAGAATTTTCTGAGAGCAATTGCTCACAATCTTTAAATACTTGAGAAGAAAAACATACATAATACCTTATTTTGGTAATTTTTTAAAATTTTTTCTGCAATAAATTTTTAATAAAGAATTAAAGACAACCTTATGTCAATCACTGAGAAATAGGGGATTTCATGTGAACAATTGCTCACACCAATATACTCATAGTACACTAATGTACAATTATTAGTCCTATTCTACCTTATAATACAGCTAATTAAAATCCTTAAAGTATTGCTTGTTACTATTTTTACTTGTACTTTTTCAGTGAAATGTTTGTTGGCCAAATGTCTGGTCACAAAACTAGTCAATTTCATATGCTTTTAAGAGTTAGCATGAGTGAAAAAAACTAATGAATTTGGACAGAGAAAAAAAAAAAAAGAAAAAAAAAAAAAAAAAAGAAAAAGAGGAAAAAGAGAGACAAGAGGAAAAAAAAGATAAAGAAAGGAAAAGAGGAAAAAAAGAGACAAACAAGAAAAAAAGAGAAGAACAAGAAAGGAAAAGAGAAGAACAAGAAAGGAAAAAGGAACAAGAAAGGAAAAGAGAAGAACAAGAAAGGAAAAGAGAAGAACAAGAAAAGAAAAGAGAAGAACAAGAAAAGAAGAACAAAAGGAAAAGAGAAGAACAAGAAAGGAAAAGAGAAGAACAAGAAAGGAAAAGAGAAGAACAAGAAAGGAAAAGAGAAGAACAAGAAAGGAAAAGAGAAGAACAAGAAAGGAAAAGAGAAGAACAAGAAAGGAAAAGAGAAGAACAAGAAAGAAAGAGAAGAACAAAAAGGAAAGAGAAGAACAAGAAAGGAAAAGAGAAGAACAAGAAAGGAAAAGAGAAGAACAAGAAAGGAAAAGAGAAGAACAAGAAAGGAAAAGAGAAGAACAAGAAAGGAAAAGAGAAGAACAAGAAAGGAAAAGAGAAGAACAAGAAAGGAAAAGAGAAGAACAAGAAAGGAAAAAAGAACAAGAAAGGAACAAGAAAAGAAAGGAAAAAGAAGAACAAGAAAGAAAAGGAACAAGAAAGGAAAAGAGAAGAAAAGGAAGGGAGAAAGAAAAGAAAGGGAAAAAGGAAGGAGAAAGAAAAGGAAGGAAAAGGAAGGGAGAAAGAAAAAGGAAGGGAGAAAGAAAAAGGAAGGGAGAAAGAAAAAAAAAGGAAGAAAGAAAGAAAAAGAAAAAAGAAGAGAGAAAAAAAATGAAGAATGGCGTCAAAATCCACAAAAATTTTTCATCCTTTAAATAGTCAGTTGTGTTTAAGTTAATTTGTAATTTATATAAAGGTAGGCAGAAAAAAGCAAATGTTTTGAAGATAGCAAGGGTCACAAAACCCTGCCTTTAAGTTCCCATAGTTAGTGGTTCAGTGGTAGTATGCACCAGCCCTGGTTTCATGAATTTGCTTATTTAATCAATTTATTGAAAAGAGAGCTGGAAATTTCAGAGCACATGAGGAGGAAAGAACATTAGGAATATTTAACATGACACATCAAAGACACAAATAAACAGCACAAAAGAAAGTGTCAACTGACTGATTTGTGCAAATTGAGAGGAGAACAATTACTGCCAAGACAAAGTTGTAAAGAAGCAATCATTTAAGAGAACAATAAAAGACAAGAAGCTGTAAAGAACCATGATCAACCATGTCTTGAAGGATCATTGTATATTCTTGATAAAATATGAAGAAGAATCTGCAAAATTATTGGTTTTGACCTGACATCTTGGCTTCATAATGTAACTTCCAGGTGCCTTTTCTATAAATATTTTCATAGTAATTGTTCTGATGAGCTTTTCTCTTTGATATCCAGATTTTATAAATTTAAGTGCAGGATTAGATCAGCAGCTAAGTTTCATAATTTTACAGTTCTATGCTAACAGTTTCTTCTCTTGCACTTCTTGCTTATGGAACTCTTTACCAGCTTTTTACTGTCCAGAATTTTAAATGCAATGTCAGTTGTTATTTTCTGTCATCTTAATTCTTGTTCTTTTATTGCCCTCTGTCCTCTTAATAATGTTTTTTGTTTTTCTTCTATTTTTTTAACACTTAGCAACTTCTCAGTTAATTTATTGCCTTGCTTGGGGTGAAAAGAACACTGAGAGTTATAGTAAAACCACAAGAATTTCTTAGAGCTAAAAAGGATCAGAATTTGTGGATACTCATGATTCCCTAAATTCTTAAGAAACACGGCCCATCAAGATTGATTAAATTGGCAGTTAGGTCTCATCACTTTACAGTTGAAATGGCTAAATGTAACTAAGTTCTTTGCTAACAGTTTCTTCTCTTTCACTTCTCACCCTCTTGCTGCTTGCTTTCACAGTCAATTTTTCTTCCAAAATTTAAATAGAATGTCAATCATTAACTTTCTTCTGAATTCCTGGTTTTTTTTTCTCTTTTTCTTCTATTTTTTCCCACCTTGTGTCTTAGTGGCTTTATTGCCTTGCATGGAGTGAAAAAAAAAATATGGATCAAAGTTAAATGACTGATTATTATTGGTTGATTGCCTAATTTAACAACATAAAAACTTTCCTTCAGTTATTTAATGTTGAATTTAAGTCATAGATACCCGTTTTGCATTAACGTTAAAGAAAAGTACACACAAATCCAGGAGGCATGGTGGAGTAATGGATAGTGGCTCAGGTTGAGGAATCAAACAGCCGAGTTCAAATTCCAGTCGAATCCATTACATTCACTTATGTGCTAATACCCTTGGGAAAGGTATATATTCACTTCTTTACCCCCAGCTATGGGTAAATAGCAGGACAGACTGTGTTCTATAGCCTTGGATGGTAATTGGTCTACTGCAGAAAGAAAAGGCAACCTTCTACAGGGAAAAAAAATCTGCCTTGTCAGTCATGTATCGAAAGATACATGATCGCTTAAGCATGTAACACACGTGGCACATCACGGACTGACTGACACATAAATCCAGTTTTCACAAGTCCAAAAAAGGATTTATTAGTTCAGTTTATTCCCGAGTCTGCAAGTACCTATTCAGAAGGTGACTCCTTTTGTGTGACATTCTTACTCCTCTGCAGAGGAATTTGTTGGTGTATCCTAAGCACAGCCAATAGTAATTGATTATCTGCACAGGGGCCAAGAAATTGATTATGTGCACTACAAATCAACTTTTGAATCTGTCTATATTTCTGAGATGAGGTATTATGTAGTATTTACATTAGTCGGACTATTGTCCTCATTTTTGTCGCCATATTTGTCACAACGTTTGGACGTTATGCGCCCGCCTTCTTCAGGGTTCAGTTCTGGAAATTCCAACCACCTGAAGAAGGCCGGAGCGCATAAACGCCTAAAACGCTGTGACAAATATGGTGACAAAGATGAGGACTATAGTCCGACTAATGTAAATACTGTAAATCAACTTTTATTTATAATACTAGATTATGTCATAAGTATTTTTTGGGGTTTATGTAACTAGTGTACTGACAAATACATCATCCTAACTATGTGTCAATTAAGGATAACACTAATTCATCTGCGTTTTTGCATGTTAGTAGCAGCATACAGAGTAGATTAAAGGAACAATGTGGTTCTCCATGACAATGTAAAACAGTATGTAGTAATAATAAATTTTCAAACTCAATGGGTACTACCCTACTCACTATATTCACCTTCCCTTGCAACAATTGACTATAACCTTTTTCAGATTGCTGCAAAATATTTTGATGGAGAGCCTTGCTTGGGATGAAATGATAAAAAAGAACACTTAATGAGTATAGTATAGAGACAAGAATTTCTTAGAGCAAGGAAGAATCAGAATTTATGGATATCCATGATTCCCTATATTCTGAAGAGTCATAGCCTATCAAGATTGACTAAACTGTGATGAAAACCAGATGGAGTACTCTTGTCATATTTGGGTGAGAGCTTCCCAGACCACACTGTCTGGCCTCAACAGAGTTCAAAAGCATCTCCAAGTCCTTTATGAGTGATGAATTAATCTCCATCCTCCATCTCTTAGGAAAGGATGTGGTAATCTTCTCACTGCTCTATTACTACTTTTGTGGAAAGTGCTCAAAGTACATCCTTGGTTTCACCAGTTATAAGTTTCACAGAAATAACCTGTCATGCCATTTACACTATAGCTAACTGCCCACATCCCTGTCATACTGCATCAGTGAGAAGTAAGTTCCACTTGAATTTCTTCCAGTGAACCACTACTCTGTGGGAGTGACTCCCAAAAGCATATTTCCCCAATCATTACAATCTTAACCTGTCTAGGGTTAATCATTATCTTCCCCTCCTATCCATATAAACTGCCTCTTAATGTAACCCTTTATCTTGTGTGGCCCCCCCCAGGATACGTGTAAGGTGAACCTTACTGTTAAAAAAAAAAAAAAAAATTTGGTACAAAGATATTTCACATCAAAAGCTGTGAAATTTTAATAAAAAGGTATTGATGAGCAGTGTGAGTAAAAACAAATCACAGCAAATGACAGTGAATTATATAATTGAATAAAATGTCATTTTATTTTCTTTGAAGAATAAGGTAGCTCAAGAAAGAAGGAGAATTATTCATAACTCAACCAAATAACTATGTATTTGAATGTTAATGTTTGTGTGTGCCTAAATGTATTGAAAAAGAAGTTAAAGATGAAGAAAGATGAAAATGAAGAAGTTAAAGGTGAAGAAACCTAAAACTGGGTTATTTTTAAAAGTTACCTGTTATCTAATCTGCCTTCAGTTTTGGTTAGTACACCTTAGTCTAATTCTGCTATTATTTACCATACTGTGAGCTCCAAAATAAATATACCTATTTTTTCCTGTATAAAGAACAAAGAAAATGCTAAATTGTTATTGCTGATGCCAATATCTTTGAGTTAGTTATATATATTTGTTATCTATCAACTAATTTCATCAACATTATAGTTTGTGAATTTCATTATCTGAGATAAACGTGTGCCTGTAGGGACATGTATTTCCAATTATTTCTACCTGTGTTTACGTATATATTTGTCAAAGTCTGTATGTGTAAATATAGAGAAACTCATATACACCTGTGCTTGTGGATCCAAATACTTACCTGTGAAAAATACATAGGTATGACATACATATAATAACCTATGTACTAAATTGTTACTTTTGTTTACTTAAAGAAGATAGGAGAGGGAATTTTCCTTGTACAATTTCGAGGAAACAAGAGATCACAAAAGCTTTTTCTCTCAACCAGCCACTTGCAACCGGATGGCATGACAATGATTTTGGAACCAAATTTTTTCTCAAAAGGTTTTGCACTTTTATCTTTTGTCAACTCAAATGTGCACCAACTTACTCAAAAGAAATTCATTAACAAACATTAAAATGTTATAATGCCTTTTGCTAAAAGAAATAAAAAAAAAACAAACAAACCAAAGAACACAAGAGAAAAAGACAGAACCTCAAAGACAAAAAAAGAGAAAAACAAAAAAACAATGAAAAACACACAAAAAGAAAAAAAAACAATAGAAAGAAATGAAAGAGCAAAAAAAAAGAAAAGAACAAAAGGTTGATAAAACATAAAAAACATTTTGCATGTTATTTAAAATGAGTAACTATTTCTAGATTGTAAGAATATTTTTTTTTGAGATAATGGTTTTACTGACACAAGTTTTACTCATTAACCCATAGATGGATTCATAACTTTCCAACTGTATTCGCTCATAATTGAATACAATGAACCTGACTGGAATTGGAACTTTGCCCTCTGATTTCCCATTCAAAACTTATTATACCACAGAAGCATGGTAGAGTAATGGATAGCAGGTTGAATTGAGGAATTAGAGAGACGAGTTCGAATTCAAGTCAAATCCATTACATTCATTTACATGCTAATACTCTTGGGAAAGGTATTAATCCTCTTCTCCATCCAGCTATGAGTAAATAGCAGGACAGACCGGGTTCTATAGCCTTGGATGGAAACTGGTCTAATGCAGAAAGACATGGCAACCTACTGCAGGAAAAAATCTGCCTTTTCAATCATGTATCATTCGATACATGATTGCCTAAGTGTGTATCACTCATGGTACATAACTGACTATTCATTATACGACCTGTACATCCAAGCTTACAGCAACTAGTATTCCCATGCAGTCACCAATATAGGTACTGACCAGGCTTGACATTGCTTAATTTTGGTGAACATAGAACTAGTATTTCAACATGATTTGGCTATAAGCCAGAACAGGAAAAGAAAGGACAAGAGAAGAAAAGAAAAAGGAGAAGAAAAGAAAAGAGAAAAGAAAAGAAACAAGAAAAGAAAGAACAATGAGTAATTATCTTGATCCAATGAACCATGTCTGTATATCATGTGAGCTTGGAAAGTAAGGATTTGATAGAAAAAGAAAATTCATGAAATTTTAAAAATATTTTTATCAGGCATCACAGGTAAGTTTGTATAGTTATCAGAAAAAAAAGAAATAGTTAAGGAAATGAATAATGGACATAGAAAAACATCATATAACAAGAACAATAAAAATTGTCTTAGGCAGTGTTAGGCTTTTTCCAACTCTGAAGTTGATAAAATCCTATTTCAGTACAGGTTATCTATTCTTGAACAAAATAAATTGCCAGAATTTGTTTCAAACATTTCTAGATATCTCACTTTGCTAATGCTTCATTCTAACTTAGGAAAAGCCCACAAGGTTTCTTTGAAGAATTTCTCAAGTTTCTTCAAATTAAGCATAGAATCCTTCTCGTCCACTACCCTAAAAAAGAGAAACATTCTTGGATTCTTAACATTAGAATGACATAAGTTTCAAAAATACCAAAGAATGTTTACTTACATGGCTTCATAAATGTTTTCCTACTCTTAACTTTAAAGATATCATGTCTTTTTCTGTTAGATCAGATTCTTATTCCAAAAGAATGGTGATCATTATTTCGAAGTTATATTCTTAAATAAACATTATTTTCACTATTTACATTATTCAGACTATTGTCCTCATCTTTGCTGCCATATTTATCACAATGTTTTGGCCGTTGTATGCTCCAGACTTCTTTAGGTGGTTGGAATGTCGAACCGAACCCTTTATTTCACTCACTGGAGTAGACTCTTCTAGTTCCATGTGCCATGTCTAATGGATATCAGTTATGAGTTATCGCCTGTTAATTCACTTCAAGTTCTCCATGCTTAACCAGGTATTGAACTCACAACTCTTTGGGTCCTGCCACTGAATCTAACCAATGCCTTTATCCATTATGCCATGTGTCCTTAAGGACATCTGCGTATGTGTCGAGCAATCTGAGCCTGAACTAGCAAGGAAGCACCATGCCCTGAAAAAACTTTGGGCCTCAAACTCATAGCTGATGAGTATATATACATTCCTAAGGATGGAGGTAAAATGGTCAGTTCTCTGTAACATTCTAGTAAGTACCTGACACCTCTTTCTATTCTCTACCTTTATGAGAGCCAGATCAGGCCAAAAATGGTGTACTGTTGTCATATTTGGGTGGAAGCTGTCCAGACTTCACTTTCCAGCCTTGATAGAGTTAAAAAATGACTCTCAGTCCTTGTGGGTGATAAATTATTCTCCCCCCTTCTACCTCTCTCCCACAGGCGGGATATGGCAAGTCTCTCACATCTCTCCCCTACTTCTATGGAAAGTGCTTGGACAAACTATATTCCCTGGTCAAATCTTCAAGGCAAGAACATGCCATATCACTTACATAGTAGAAAAGCACCCTATATTCCATCAGTGAGAAGTTAGTTCCACTTGAGCAGCATCTTTCTGTGAAATACTGCCCCATGGAACTGACTCCCAACAGGATGTTTTCCTGATCGCTACAATCTTAACCTGTTTAAGGCTAGGGTTAACCATTATCTTCCACTCCTATACTCTAAACGTAACCCTCTACTTCAAGTGCTCTCCCCCCAAGCTGTGTAAAGGGTGAACCTTGCTGTAAAATAATAAACTCCAGTTGGTCTTTGAACAAGCACAAAATGTACCTGAGCTTGCCGTCCTAGTCAATGGGCATTCTCAGATAGGAGTGGCTAGCCTTTATATATACAAATGCGCACATATGGTCTTACATGGCTAAAATGTGAAACTGGCAGTCACCATGAAATGTTGTCTACTATGTCTACAAACAGAAAATTTTAAACAACATGTTTAAACATATCAGTTCAATCAATAAGCCTATACTCACGTAATTATGAGCTGAATGAGTGAATATGAAAATGTTTTCCCCGTATCTATCGGATTAATTTTTCACAACCGAATTCAATTTACTGACAAAGATGTTAAAAATAAATACTGTTTTCATCACACCCCTGTATATATATATATATATATATATATATATATGAGAGAGAGAGATAAATAGATAGATAATATTAGTGGTCAATATATATATACATATATATATATAAATTTCCAGGTATAATTCAATGTCCAGGACAGTAAGATTATAATATAAAAGGCTCAAATACTAATATTCCATGGTTATAATTTATAACATTGGAATTGTAATCATGATCCAATTCATCAGACCTACAAATTCAATTTTTGAATTTGTAGGTCTGATGAATTGGATTGTTTTGAGCCTTTATTATGTGTGTGCATGTATATTTAGGCAGCTTATCTTCATTCAAGCATGTTTGTTTGATTAACTATGATTATAGCAATTTTTAAAAATACTTAATTATAATTTTTTAAACAAAAACTTACACATAAATTATCTCCCTTGATAACATTAATTTTGAATTGACAGAGAATGTTTCAGTCACATTTATAAAAAATTCACAACTATCTATTACATCAATATTTGTCTTAGCAATTCATCCCTGAAGATGATCTTCGTTGAGATTGAAAGCACTTGGGAAAATAAAAGGAATGAATAAAACTATGGTGTCTTTCTTAATGAATTTAATGGCTTAAACACTAAGAAATAGATCTGTGAATTTGAGAGGAGTAAAATAAAAATAGACATATGTCTAGATTATTTAACTATATATATATATATATATATATATATATACACACACACACACACAGGTAAAAATCTGTGAGTAAGTAATCTAGATGAATCCTAATATAAAATTTTAAAACTGATCCACAAAGAGAGTTCAATGTATTTATTACAGAATATAAATAAATTACATATAAAGAAAATTTAATACCCCCATCTGTATGATGATTTCACCCCGAAAGAAAATTGATCTTCCAAAGAGGTATTAAATTTCATATATATATATATATATATATATGTGTACCGTTTAAATGTGTCAATATCTGCTAACTCACTCATGTCTTCTCTCTCTCTCTCTCCTCACTCACTTTGTTAATTTACATATGTTTAATACGGTCTGTCAAAAATGTGTAAATTTTCTTGTTTTTTGTTTGGAAGTAAAGTCTGATGATCCGCTGTCCTTTTAAAAGGGCTGTGGTGAAATAATTTATTACATGGAACCTTAAAGTAGTCTGTTTTTATTTAAATTATTTGCTCTGGATTTACATTGAGCTCTCTGGATTTTATCCTCCTTAGGTTTACCCATATGGATTACCTAGTTTTTCTTAAACTATATATATATATATATACTCATACATACATTCATTCATTCACTCACACATATTAACAAAAAAAGGGGCTACTGAAAAGTTCTATGAAGGGATTTTGAAAAAAAAATCTTGCTTGGTTAAACTTTGGCAAGTGACCCCAGCAAAGGATTTTTTGATATCCCCACCCTAAAGCATAATTATTAACAGGATCCAAATTGTGCTTGCCAGTTTCTAAAAAAAAAAAAAAAAAAAAAAAGTTTGAAGAACCTGTCTCTGAACTGCTATAAAAACAAAAACTGTCTCTTATCTAACATATTTTTTCTACTCAGTGTAGGGACATCTTTAATGTCCTCAATTAGCAGGTAATTTTAGTCTTAGCAAGAGAGAATAGGTTCCTAAAAATGTTTAATTCCACCACCACTATCTTTCTTGATAATAGTTAATTTCTAATCTTTTGTTAAATGTAGTGTAGAAAGTCAACATCTTAACTATCATTATTTTTATTTATAGTTGTATGTTCCACCTATTTTTCTTGTTGCTATCATTGAAAATCTTCAAGTGATGTTGCTTTTGTTATTTGCTAAAGCTTTTTGAGGAGCTGTAGTTCAGTCAGGGATGGCTCAAGGTACTGGCAAGTCACACAGTTGCTGAGGATGCCATCATGTTGTCATCCATAACTCAAGACAAAATAGCCAAAGAATTTAATCTGTCAACAGAAAATGGTATTGACGATGGGTGTAAAAAGTGCCATGAAAAGATTTGCAGGTCTAATGGCTAGAAAAAATGTCTTAGAATAATGAATGTTTTCATTAGCTTGTATTAAGTTGTAATTAACTTGTTCTGCATTTTCAGTTTTTCTCCTCGTGAAAATTTTAAAAAAATATACTTCTAAAGATCAGCAAAGTTCAACTTTGAGTGCAGTCTATAGGATTTGATAAGGGATTGTCTTAAGCCCTCGAGAATTTATTTGCTTGAAGCTATTCGTTGAATGCATTAAAAGTAAAGTGGGCAACGCAAAAGACTTGTTTGATTACAGTTCAGGTCATTCTGAAAATTTTAACATGTTTTTATTGTAGAAAGCAGAGTTTGCAACAGATGTAGGTTAGAAAGCAAAATCTGTATGTTTCACACACATGGCTACTGCAACTACAGGAGGTTACAAAGCATTCACAATGCTCTTGATTGTCCATGAAAGAAGAAAGCTTGCATGCTTTCATCTCTAACACTGACCTCATCTAGGTGGGATGTCTTTATATTTTTTTTACAGTAGCTGCATGCAACATGGTGGTATTTCAGTTGATGAGGTAAGCTACTATTTTCACTGTTTATTCAAAAGTAAGCTGGTGAAACTGTCACAGAAAAAAAAAAAATTTCCTCATTTCAGAGTTTTTATTCCACAGAAAAATTCTAACAGAGTATCAAGGTATTAATAAATTAAAGCATTATCTTGCTTCAACTGCATAATTTTAATACATATTCTAATTTGTAAACACTATTTTTTTTTATTCATTCAACCCCAAGCAAGGCAATAAAGTCACTAAGATGCAAGGGGTTACTGAATGCAAGAGAATGAGGTAAAAAACAGTATCAAAGATAGTAAAAAGTCCAGAAATTAAAAAGACAGAAATAGCATTCAAATTTTTGAAGATCAGAATTGATTGGGAGGGAAAAAGAAAGGAAAAAAAGGAAAAAAAAGGAAAAAAAAAGAAAAAAAAAAGAAAAAAGAAAGGAAAAGGAAAGGAAGAAATAAAGAAAGGAAAGGAAAAGGAAAGGAAAGGAAAAGGAAAGGAAAAGGAAAGAAGAACGGAAAGAAGAACGGAAAGAAGAACGGAAAAGGAAAGAAGAACGGAAAAGGAAAGAAGAACGGAAAAGGAAAGAAGAACGGAAAAGGAAAGAAGAACGGAAAAGAAAGAAGAACGGAAAAGAAAGAAGAACGGAAAAGAAAGAAGAAAAAATGAAGGAGGAAAAATGAAAGAAGAAAAAATGAAAGAAAAAATGAAAAAACTGCTGTACATGAAAAAAAAAAAAAAGCTGTCAGGTCTATTTACCTCTGAATAGCAATAGGTACAGATTCTCATGCATGAAAAAGCATTCAATATTTGAATCACGAGCCTGTTATGCTGGAGAGAATGATTTTGCTATTCTTAAATTGAAAATTACATTGTGGAAACTCAGATCCATTATTCTCTAAGTTTGAATTTTGTTTTGCCAAGGTAAATCTATTTTTTTCCAGAATTACTCATGTGTTATTCTTTAATTATAAATTTATTCTTCTTAAAGCATAATGATTTTGTAAATATTTCAGAATTCATACACTAGAATTGGAATATTAAATTACAGTTTTACAAGGGCTCTTTGGCATGTGTAAATGAGCAGGAGTTGGAAAGCGAGACAGGAAGAGCAAGCGAGAGAGACCAATACAATAAATACACAACTCTTTTAAAAAGAGAAATAGATGTTTAATATGTTTGGCATAGGGCAGGGGTTAGAGAGAAGGTGTGTATTTATTTGAGGGGGGTTGAAAAACAAAGGGAAATATTGACCATTGTTGACCATATGAAATTGACTATTTCATATTTGTTTATACAAACAGCAACAAATGAATGAGTTAAGATAGATACAGTTCTTCGTTGCAGAGATCGACAAGAAAACTGATTTGTTTTATGTTGCTTAGAAAGAGAAATTATGTAATTTATGTTGGAAGTTTTTAGATGATGAATTATTATTATTTACCTTTACATTTGATCTGGTATTCTCATGTGGAGATAGCATAGTGCTAATACCCTTGGGAAAGGTATAAATCCTCTTTTCCACCCAGCTATGGGTAAATATCAAAACAGACCAGGTTCTATAGACTTGGATGGCAACTGGTCTACTGCAGAAAGAAATGGCAACCTACTGTGGGAAAAAGTCTGCCTCACCAGTCAGGTATCGAAAGATACATGATTGACTAAGCATGTATTACACATAGCACATAACTGAAATCTCATCTTGCTTCAGCCATTGAATGCTTTAGCCTTCTTTGGGTATCTATCCTCATATCTGTCTATATTTCTGAGATGAGGTATTATGTACATTATTTACATTATTCAGACTATTATCCTCATCTTTGTTGCCATATTTATTACAATGTTTCGGCCATTGTACGCTCTGGCCGCCTTCTTTTTTACCTCCTTCTCCTGCATTCTGTTCTAGTTCCACATGCCATGTTTTAATGGATGTCAATTATCAGTTATCTCCTGCTTGTCCTCTGAAAGTTCTCCACTACTTTAACCAGGTCCTGTCACTGGATCTAACCAATGCCTTTATCCAATGTGCCATGTGTCCTTGAAGACATCTGTATATGAATTTCTGGATATTATAAACCTAATGTCTCAGCAACCATTTTTACCAGTGCTCATATTGCAATTTTTGCTGCTATCAATCCATGTTTTTACCCGAGCTCATATTACAAATTTTGTTGTTATTATTGCTTTTTGCTGGCACTCCTTATCACTGGTTCCCATATTGTATTCATTTCTATGCTTGGTTGGCTCAGGAGATTTTTGTGGCCTAGCATATGTGCTGATTCCTTAAGTTTAGGAATTTTCCAGTCTACCCCAGTGAGCGAAATAAAGGGTTCAGTTCAACATTCCAACCACCTGAAGAAGACCGGAGTGGACAACAGTCGAAACGTTGTAACAAATATGGCAACAAAGATGAGGACAATAGTCTGAATAATGTAAATAATCTATCATCATAGTTGGAAACCACAGAATTTTGAGTCAAATCCTTTTTTTGTTTTGTTTTCTATACTTGCAGGATATCCTGAACTTTCATCTATCATGATGGATGGGCTCCTTGCCTTGTATATTTATTGGAACTTGAGCTCACCCTCAGACCACAAATGGAACTCATATATGCAATCTATTGCTAAAGGTGATGGAAAAATGGCTAGTTCCTTATACTATTTCAGTATTTATCTGACTTCCTCTGCTATATTATCTTTACAACAGCCATATCAGACCAAAAATGGAGCATTACTGTCATATCTGGGATTGAGCTGCTTCGTCTTCACTTGCCTGTCTTGAGTTCAAAAGCATCTATGCTGCCTCATGGGTGATTAATTATTTTCCACTCTACAACCACTTTCCCCACAGATGAAAGCCTCTCACTACTCCATCGCTATTTCTATAGCAATTGGTCTGACAAGCTACATTCCTCGGTTCCACCAGTCCTGATCATTGCAATTGGGACCTACCATATTATGTACATGAGAATGAATCATCATTTCCTTTATATTCCCTTAGTAAGGAGGAAGTTCCACTTGGATCTGCTTCTTCCCAAGAACTGCTGCTTTGTAGAAAAGACTTCTTGCAGAATAATTTCCCAATTACTACAATCTTGACCTCTTCAAATCTGGGGTTAACAGTTTTTTTTTTTCTACATAACCTCATAAACTGCACTTTTTGCCTTCTTTTAGGCTCATTTAACACCATCCAGTAACCCTCTATTTTGAGTGACTCTCGAGCCTTGTATTGAATGAATATTAGTATACTAAAAAAATGTTATTTTATTTTTAAAATAATCACAAAAATTTCAAGTTGAGAAATTCATAATTTTACAAGCTTTTAAAAGTATTCACTGTACTTTGACAACTGAGATGACATACCAGCTTCTCTAAGAATTTTTTTTTATCACTAGCTACTTCACAGTTCAGGCAAATTACAATCTTTGGTTCCACCAGTCAGACCATGTACACTAAATAAACTCACCTTCATTCTCTTCATATAACATTGGTGAAGTGAAGGTTGCAATCCAAAGGCTTCTTTCTAAGAACTGTTGCATTATAGGATGGATACTAGAAAGGATGCTTTCCTGATCACTACAATGTTACCTTCAAGTCAAGAATCAACTGTTATCTACCCTCCATATCCTCATAATATGCATCACTTGCTTCCTCCGAACTTACAACGGGTTGTACGCTCTGAGACTTCCCAATATCAATCTAAGTTGAGGAAATTTGTGGCTCTTTCTTGAACAAAGGATGGGGTATCAAGGTAAGGCATATTCAATAATAGTAAACTATTTTCTGACTTTAGTCTGCAAATAGGTTGATAAGCCATAAAAAAAAAAAACACAGATCAATCATTCTTTTGTTCTTTTATCTCTTTTTTCTTTGATTCTTTCTCTTGTGTTTTTTTTCTTGTTTTGCAAAGGGAATTCTTCTTATGTGCCATGTCCTTTCAGGATGTAGATGCTGCAGTTTTTTATCCAATTTCTTCTGAGGAAGCTGGTGCATATATGAGTTGACAAAAAAAGTATAAAAAAAAAACAACAAAACAAAAAGAAAATCTACAAAACTTTTTGAGAAAAACAAAATGGCTTTAAAAACATTGTCACGCCATCCTATTGCAGGTGTCTGATGAAAAAAAAAAAAAAAGGTCTTGTGTGTTCCTTCTTGTTTTCCAGAAATTGGAAGAGGAAAGACAAAAGTCGTCCAACTCTTCTTTAACTTTAAAAAAAAAAAAAAAGTAACAATTTAATACCTGGTTTATTATACACATGTGTATTTTTTCAAAGGTAAATGCTTTAGACCCACAAATACAGGTGTGTATGATTTTTTTTCTGTATTTCAGAGGTATATCAAAAAGAATATATACTGAACTTCTTTTTGAAATGTTCACAGAAATGAACATAGGATGGATTTCAGAACAGTTTTATACATTTTAGTAAAATGTCATTACTTACATTTTACAGGAGAACAGAATGTACATGCATATTTAACTTTGACAACTGAGATTACATACCAGAGAATTTTTTATCACTAGCTACTTCACAGACCAGTCAAATTACAATCTTTGGTTCCACCAGTCAGACCTTGACAATCAGACCACGTACACTAAAACTCACCTTCATTCTCTTGATATAACATTGGTGAAGTGAAGGTTGCAATTCAAAGGCTTCTTTCTAAGAACTATTGCATTATAGAATGGATCCCAGAAAGGATTTTTCCCTGATCACCACAATGTTACCTTCATGTCAAGGATCAACTGTTATCTATCCTCCATATCCTCATAATATGCATCACTTGCTTCCTCCTAACTTACAACAAAACTTATTTAGTAATCATCTATCTTGATTGGCTCCTGGGCCTTGTATTAGTGCATTGCTTATCACAGATTTGTGTAAATGAGCCAGCATTTTTTCTTAACTGACAGCAATATGTTGCAAAGTCTTTTCCTTGTTTCAGACAATCTTGAAGATTTTTTAAAATTTACACAAACCAATAGTAATTGCTTATAAATATCTTGTTTTAGATTTTATGCTCACCAGCTTTTTTCTGGAGCCTCTCGTGCATGTGTGTGTGTGTGTGTGTATTCATTGAATTTCTTTTTGATATACCTCTGAAATATTGTTATGCCTCTTTGTATATCATTTCCTTTTATCACATGTGATTATGACCCTCGACAACTTCCTGTAGTTTGTAGCTGTAAGTAACATTTGATTCTTTAGCTTTTTGTCCCCATTTTCCCATTCATTTGCACAAATTCATCACCTAGGTTACTTGCTGTTTCCCTTTGGCTCTCCTGCCTTTAATATATCCTGTGAGTGTTGAATTCTCCAAGCTCTCCTTCCTCATTATATGTTCCAGAAATTTCAACTGTCTATTTCTGATTTCAAGTATAAGCATCCTTTTAGTTAGTATTTTTTTAAAAACTTCCTCATTATCCTCATGTTATGGTTTCTTATCTAGTTTAACTATTACATTTTTACTTCTGACTAAAGAATTCCCAATTTCACTGACAGGTGAAGAAAAATAGATTCCTTCCTTTTCCAAAGGCATTAGTGTAAAGTGAATACAAACAGTTCTAGGCAGCATTTGAACTCGAGTTGCTGATTCCATTGTACTTACATTATTTGGACTGTTATCCTCATCTTCATTGTCATATTCATGCTCTGGCTTTCTTCAGTGATTGGAATTTTGAACCAAACCCTTTATTTCATCGACCGAGGTAGGTTGTTCT